TTCTCTCTAGACTATGCTCATTTTCATTCCAGCCAGCAGCATTAAAGAGCCTGTTTCTCCACATCATTACCAGTACTTGTCATAATTTATTATTCTATTCTAATGGGGTAAGATGGCATTTCATTGTAGCCTTTTGTATGCTCCTGATGGCTAATAATATTGAGCGCATTTTCTCATATATTTGTTGGATTTTTGTATTCCACATTTTGTGGTATATAGTCAGATGATTTTCTAAATTTGTTTTTTTTTTACTGAATTCTTGGGCTTTGTTAAATTTTAAGTTCTTTAGAACTTATCACCATGTTGTTTTTCAGCCAATCAACTTTTTCTTCTTCATCTCTCAGACTCCGCTGTAAGATAAGTACACGGATGGATGGATGGATGGATGGATGGATGGATGGATGGATAGGAGACAGGGAGACAGAGAGACAGACAGATAGGCAGAAAATTAATTGTGCACCCCTTACCAGCAGCAGTGTATCTCTATCCTCAGAAGGGTTTCAGTGGGTGATTTCATGACCGTATGAACATCAGTGCTTCCCTAAACTTTATCTGCTCTGGGCAGATAAGACATTCTGTGTATCCATTTGGAAGTGCCATTGCCTTTTTTCTTTTCTACTTCTGATACAATATGATCTAGAAAGTAAAAGACTTGCGTTAGAACTGAACCTAAGAATAAATGTGAATAGGACTTAAAGATCTTAATCTTGGGATTAAAAGTTATGAGCTTTTGTTGATAGTGACATGCTTATTTTGACTGATATTGCAGCCTTTAGAGAAATGCAGTACTCATTTTATCTGTGTATTATATACATTATTAATTATGTCTGATAATCAGAATGTGGGTGTTCTATATTTGGACTCCACCAGTTTGCTTGTTAGTTTAACAAGGACAGGGCTAATAATGTGAAGCATGTGCCTCTTTGTCATGTAGAGAATTCAGAATCATCTTAACTTTGTCTCTTACAGGCTGTCAGCACCATCATTTAATGTATTTTATCCTTGAAAAGGATTTCTTCCAATTGCATTTTCAATTTGAAAGGATACTCTGACCCTAGTTTTTAATTTCTAATGCCTCAAAATGTGGTGGAGTTTTAAAGTTAAGTATCATGTTTGAAGGTTGTAACTACCTATATCTGAAATAAGATTTTGTCTAGGAAAAAGAAAGGTATCACAAAAGACAACTTCCAGTTCCACACACCATCCCTTGGGGCCTCAGGTACTCTTGATGATGCTGCTTATTATGTTGCTACAGAAAACTGTCACCATGGCACATTATTTGTTCCTAGGAACACTTCCAGCAGAAGCAAATGATACTACACAGTGGTAGGCTCTTGGGAAAGCAAACCAAACAGCCTGGCATATGGTTGTCAGTTAATGAGGTCGCTTACCTTGAGGCAAGGTATTTCATGAAGCAAAACTACACAAGTTGAGCAGACCCTTCAGAAGTCACCAAGACAGACTGTGTGTCTTGTGTGAAAAACGCTAAGCCCAGAGGTGATGGGAATGACAACATGGTTTTCCAAGTCTAAACTCTGGAGTTAGAGGAGCTTTTCTTCCTCACTTCCATCACCTGTCTCTTCATTTCCACTGCTTCTCTGAGTGCTTGACACATCCTGAATAAAAGAAACCCTGAAACTCCTGACTGAGGAAGGAAAGAACTGTAGCGTAAACACCACTATATAAACCTTTCAGACTCTTTTGAGGCATGTCACAGAGCACAAGAAGAGAAGCATTGCTTGCTGGCCACATTCTGTCAGTGCTTTGATTTGACACAACTTAGTCCAGAATATAGTCTGGAAAGTGAAATTTGAAATTGTTTTCTGAACACATCTTAATATAGAGCACAGGACCACTATGGGACAACAAAAAGTAACAGAGATAGTATTTTGCTATTAGAATAACCTTATAATTCTAGCAAGGAGGATACCACCTCTTAGCTTCAGAATCTGTCATTCCTCAGTATTGAATTGGTTGTGTTTTCTCGGTTTAAATAATTGGGAGGAGATCTGTCTTGTCTGTTTCCCTGAGTCTGAGCATTTGCTTGCCATTACTTCTGCTTGAGCACTTGCTTTCTCCATAATTTTCATGACTGTCTCCTGCCCAGCTTAAATGTCATGTCTCCAGAGAGAAATGAGACTTGCTAATTAGTGTTTGTTTGTTTTAATCAGAATGCCACATAGAACTAATGGGTGTGAGTTATCATTTTTAACTATACAAAAAAGTAAATAACACCAAGCATGGTGGCACATGCTTTTAATCCCAGCACTCAGGAGACAAAGGCAGGTAAATCACTGTTGAGTTCTAAGCTAGCCTGGTCACACAGCAAGTTCCAGGCCAGCCAGGATACATAGTGAGAATGTATCTCTAAAAGCAAAAAACAAATGAAATAAAAGTAGTAAATAATTTGTATTAAAGATTATCCTCAACAGCAACCTGGTTTAAAAACTATCAGCTTGGACTTACCAGCTTGGATCATTTGCTGGTGTATGACAACCCCCCTAAAACTTGGCAAACTACAACAGTGTATTTCTTCTGACTGACTGTGCTGATTTAGCTGGTTGATTCTCCTTGGAAGTCTCCTGCTGGTGCACTTCTCTGAGTTTCCTGAAGTTTTATCTGTGGTGATCTAAAAGTCCTGCTGAGCCTGGACTTCACTTGCTATTGTTGCTGGAAGCTAACCAGGCAGTTCTCTGCCTTTAGCTATTTCTCCCTAGAGCTAGCCTGGGCTGCATCTTGGCAGGGTGATCCCAAGGTCATCGACAGTAATGTTTGCATCCTGGCATTTACTAAAGTGGGTGTTCTCAAACAGCAAGTGCTGCAAAACCTCCAATGTAGCCTGGGAAGTCACTTAGCATCCCTGCCATATGTCATAGCAGTCTAGTGGTTGAAGAGGAGCTTCCTTATCATAGTAGAGAATGGATAGACTCTGTAAGTAGCTTTGAGCACTACTGACTTCTCAATAATCCATAAATATAGACTTTACTTTGGAATTCTTTCATCTGTAGTTTGTAGTTTTTGATGTTTATCATTTTTGCCTCTGGTTGAGTTTATCCCTAACTCTCTCTCTCTCTCTCTCTCTCTCCGTGTGTGTGTGTGTGTGTGTGTGTGTGTGTGTGTGTACACGCATGTGCGTGCGCACATGTATTGTGCAAGTGTCTGTGTGCACACATTCATGTATGGATGCACATACATACTCATGCATGCTATTGTAAAAGGGTTTTCTTAATGTCTTTTCTGGGTTATTCATTATATAATACTGTACATAGAAATGCATTTTATTTTGTGTGTTGGTTTTGTATATCTACTGAATTCATGTATTAGTATAGGTTCTGTATAGAATTTTTAGAGTTTTCTATACATAAGATCATGTTGCCTGCAAACAGATTTTACTTTTACAATGTGGATGCCTTCAATATTTTCTTATTTTCCTAAGCTCTCTGGCTAGTGATACATTACTGTACTTAATCAAACTGTGAAAATAGTTCCTTGAAATTCTTTAGAGAAATAAAACCCTCTTCCCTTCCTATGGTGCTGCACCCATACCCTACCCCTTGAAACCTAAAGCTCTGTCCCCCAGTGCTGTAGCTCTCTAGATGACCGGTTCTGTGACAAGGCAGGCCTTTAACAGTGGTCCACAGTAGCCTGTGATAGCTGTCCCCCAAGTTTATACGTGACAAAATAGTGCCTTTGTATTCCTATCAATGTCAGGCTTCCATTGTATTCTTATTTTTTTTATAAATATTTCTTGAGTAATACATTTTTTGCAAGAACAATATTAACTGTTTAAGGTAGGACAACCAAAACAGAGAAAATATAAAGTGCCTAGAGGCAATTATAAATAAAGAGCAAAGTTGAGAACAGAGGAGATGTGGAGCAGACAAGATGGCTCAGTAGGTAAAGATGCTTGCCTTACAAGCCTGACACCTGAATTTGACCCAGAGAACCACATACTGATGGAAGGCGAAAAACCAGTGCCACAAAGTTGGCTTCTGACCTCCACAAGTTGCTATAGCACATGTGTCCCACCACACACACAATAATAATAATAAATACTTTTTAAAACTGGACATTACAGGGTAGACGTTTGTAACTTCGTCTACTGAGGAGTTCTGGGTTCCATATTTACAACAGAAGCTGAAAACCAACATTTTTATAAAAAGTTGTAATTTTAGCAGTTAAGACTTATATGACAGCCAGTTTTAGACTTTTGATGTAAAAGAACAAAAAATCATTTGCTTGACTTCCCCATAATTTGCAAGGCTGCTTCTTTCACCAGTGAATACCAGAAACAGCATGGCTCTTAGAAAGGCTTTTACCACAGCAGGGTGTGAGACATTGACACACCTGCCAGAAATCAGAAAGGGGCCTCACTGCAGAGCTTTCTCTTGGTTAAAAAGATCTAAATGATGGTCTGAAATTACCACAGCAGCCTGGTATGCTGTCATAGCCAATGGCCTGTTAACAGTCAGAAATGTGTTGTCTCTAAGTAAAATGAAAATATGGTTATTTCTTAAGTAATGGTGTTTTCAAATGACTCATTGTTTCATTCAGTTTCTTGTCTCTCCCATTTCCTTCTTATCTTAAATGTAGAGCTTTTGAAGAGAAACGCAGAGAACAAGAAGAGAGAGAACATCAAATGAGAGAGCGCATCCTGCAACAAAGGAAGCAGAAGTTGGAGGAGGTCACTGAGAAATTCCAGCGTTGCCATGTTCCTCTCTCTCATAGGAGGAGGGCAGGTACCTTTGTTTCTGGAACAATTCTGAAACAAAAATCAAAGTTGTAATAAGACTTAAGTAGAGTAAGCAATAAAATTACACATTTAAAAAAAAAAAGTAGAGGGGGCTGGAGAGATGGCTCAGAGGTTAAAAGCACCAGCTGCTCTTCCAGGGGTCCTGAGTTCAATTCCCAGCAACCACATGGTGGCTCACAACCATCCGTTATGAGAGATTTGGTGCCCTCTTTTGGCGTGCAGATATACATGGAAGCAGAATGTTGTATATATAATAAATAAATAAAATCTTTTTAATAAATAAATAAATAAATAAATAAATAAATAAATAACACTTGCAAGTTTCTTTCAACTTCACGCTAGTTCACAATGTTTGTCTTTTTAAAATCAATTTATTTTTTAAGTAACTTAACAGAAAATTTAGCAATTGGGCTCAGGAAATTGCTGTCACATTCATTCTGGTATTTTACTTGTCCACTTCAAATTCTTATTTGAGAGATTGGCAAAATACAACATCTACAAAGTAATATAATCCAATAATATAAGGCCCAAAACCAATTAAGAATTGAAGTAATTGGACCAAGAAGATGGCTTTGTATATAAAGCACTTGTGAAACATGAGGGCTGAAGTCTGCATCCCCAGAGCCACATAAAGTCAGGCAGATGTGGCCACAGCCTGTACTTAGGAAGCACAGACAGGGATCCCTGGAGCAAGATGCTAGCTAGCCTTGGCAAGCTCTAAGTTCAGTTAAGAGAGCCTGCTTGAATAAACAAAGTGAGTGTAAGTGCAGCAAACACTCACCTTCACGAACACCCACACATGCCTGCATTCCACATGTATGCATGTATACACACATGTACATACATTAAAAAGGAATTTAAATATGACTGTGATTGATGCTGTCTTATCACATCCACATTTTTAGACCTTAGATAGAAAGACAAAGCTAACAATATGTCAAAGCTTACTAAAGAAAGAGAGCTGGCAGTACCATCATGTACCCAAGCATCATGTACTATACTGTGCTGTACTCTGTTCCCAGCTATACTGAGCTACAGAAATATGTAATTGTACTCTAACACTAAAAACCACAACTTATTTTGGATAAGAATTTAAGCAGTGTCAGTGGTACAATAATTGATGTGATAACAGAATGTGTAACTACTGTGAAAACACAGTAAAGAATGTTAGCATATGTCAGGACATGAGATCATTGTTTCCAGAATAATGACATGCATGACTCTTGAATCAGTATCTTGCCAGGCAAAGATTAAAAATAAAGGGTAGCCCAGACAGAAGGAACAGTCCATACACATGAACTGTGCCTTTCAGTCTATCGGAAGCATAAGTTAGTGGGTGCGAAGAATATTAACTTGAAACTAGAAGTAAGTTGTAGCCAACTCCTGAAGAACTTTTTGTATACCATGCTAGAAAATTCGTCTTTATAAAAAATGTCATTTTTCAACTGGAAAGTAATCCATTTCTGTGTTACTAAAGTGTCTTAGTATTAATAGGTGCTACAAAGAACACTGATACCATGAAGACACCAAAACATGGTAGGGTTTTCTTTTTCTCTTGTAAGTCCTGAGGTCAAGGTCAAGAGCTGGTTCCATGGTTTTATAGACTTTTGTTGTCTTTCAGCTAAACACTTTCTACAGATGGTTTCTGTCTTTACTCTTGTGGATATGGTAGCTACTACATCGCCAGTCATAAAATTGGTATTCTAGACAGAAAAAAAAATGACATAAAGATTATGCCTCTGAACCCCCCTTTAAATCATTTCCTTAGAGACCAACTTCCATTTATGTAATTTTATCTATTTGGCTCCATTTGTAAGGGAAGCTGAAACTTTCTCAATGTTGGTTATGTTTCTACTCCTAACGGTATAATCTTTATTACTAAGAAAAGGAAATGAATGTAAGACAGCCCTCTCATGGTAAGATCTGTTTGTTAGAAGGATAATTATAGGGACAACATGGAATGTGGATGGAAGTAGAAACATACCTAAGTTAAAAGACTTGGAGGAGACTAGCTCTGGGAAGATTAAGTTCCTGAGTTGAGCAGTAACTATGTATAGACAGAAGAGATAATCTACTCAGACACCACAATCGATAGAATTACTTAGTATGGAAGAAAAAAAAGCTACAAGAACAATACCTTAGGAACTTGGCAGAGAGCAGCACACATAATCTGCATTAATAAAAGGCAGTATTTTACTAGCATGTATTCATTCTGTGTTTTAAATTTTATTTTTATATTTTTATACATGTATAAAATATTATCATATTCATTCCCATTACTCTCTCTTGTGTCTAGAGTTGAAGTTTGACCTAAAACCTTTGTAATAGTATACTGGCTTTTCTTAAATACTTTGGAAAAATTGCAGCCAATAGAATAGTGAAGAAATATAGTGACATGAATGTTTTAAAAGTAAAAATGTTCTTTTAAAAAATGTCACGTTTCCACGAAGAGTTTGAGCTAGAAAATCATTTCCTCTACCCCAGGCTTTGAATTATGTATAGAATTTGTTGATTGGAACATTTTTCCATATGCAAGGGCTGCAAGGGGAAGCATTTTTTAAAAAAAAAAAAAAAAAAAAAAAAAAAAAAAAAAAACTGTATTCTACCTAAACAGTGAGGGGAACATTAGAAATAAAGAAAAGGAATACATTGAGTACCAAAATGCACATTTGAAGCTTTGAATAAAAGTGGGTGTATACAGAAAACAAGAATGAATGAAAATTCTAAAGAGCAGTATGGGGTTAGTGTCTATGTAACATATTGTCATGAAGACATCACTTGCCTTCTTCATATACCTTAGCTTCCTCGGTTGTAAAATTCAAATAGCACCTGTGCCATAGCTAGGAAGAGCATACTTACAAAGTGCTTAATAAGCTATGTAGCAGTAAATGCCCAAAGCTAGTTGATTTTTTCATTTTATTCAGAGGAATATGTAAAACGTTTGAGACCATGAGATTAAATATAGAGGAGTTTATATATCAGAAAAGCCTATACATTTTTCAAATTTCCTTTTTTGCAAATAAATATCATAAAATTAATGATGATGCTCTCAAAGTAACAATACCTTTCCTAAGACTTACATATATAAATTTAAATTTGCATTCCATTGTAAATATATTATATAAGAACATTGAAATATTTTATTAGCCAATTAAATTATATATCAATAAACCATTGGTGATAAAATGATTGTTTTTTTTTCTATTCCCTTAGTTTTTCACAGTCCAGTTCCTCCATTAGAAGAGGCCCTTAAACAAATTCAAGAATCCAACTTAAAGTCAGAACTAAACATTCCTCATTCCCATAGACCAGCAACAAGTTGGCAGTAAGTAATTTATTATTACTGTACTAATATTATTAGACTGTTATCACTTAATATATAATAACCACATGGTTTCCTGTTCGCTGAATTTGTACTCTTTTTCATTGGTTACTTTTCTTTTTTTTTGCTGGGGGTGAGGGAGTTCGAGACATGGTTTCTCTGTGTAGTTCTGACAGTCCTGGAACTCACCTTGTAGACCAGGCTGGTCTCAAACTCACAGAGATCCCCCTGCCTCTGCCTCTGCCTCCCAAGGGATGGGATTAAAGGCATATGCCACCTCCATCTAGCTCATTGGTTACTTCTTATCTCTGTTTTAGAATTTGTTCTTTTTACAAATTAATTAAGAATTAAGTCAATTGTAATTTGTGGTCTTACAGTCACTAATAATACAAATACTGCCAATAGTGAATAATTTTCAATGAAAACTATCAAAGCTATTTTAATATATTGATGTTTATTGTTTATTGAATAGATAAAATTGTTTAAATTGTATTGATACAAATTTAGTTTTAAAAAGTAATTTTGTGGTTGCAGTGGTTTTCTTTCTCACTCGGATTTTTTGTTGGTATTGTCTCAATAAAAACTACAATATCTGTAGTTCATCTCCAGAGTTGCCTAAGTAAGTCATATAAAAGCATTAGCATGGACTAGCCAGTCACTATATTTCCTCCAATAAATGTCTTTTCTATTTTTTCCAAATATTTTTTGATATTACTATATGCAGAGAACTAGATGAGGCATTAGAAAGCAATTTGGAGTAGACTTAAAAATGAAATCCCTAGGGGCTGGAGAGATGGCTCAGTGGTTAAGAACACTTAATGTATGTAAATACACACACACACACATATATATATTTACATATATATAATTACATATATATGTAATTACATATATATTATATGTAATAATTACATGTAATTATATATATATATAGAGAGAGAGAGAGACAGAGAGACAGAGAGACACAGAGAGAGAGAATCTCTCCCTAGTATAACCTTAGAGAGAAGTAAAATGCTTTGGAAAGCATCAGGACTATGGTTGTAGCTCAGTGGAAGAGCACTTGCCTCACATGTATAAGGGCTGGGATTGATCCCCAGCACCACAAAAAAAAAAAAAATACATCACATATCTAGAAATACATCACATATGTAAAGGGATACTTTTCTCTATCTAGTCTGGGTTCTACTTGGACTGGTTTCTCTCTACCCACCAGGTCTTTGCAGTCCTATATACGATAACCACTCAGAGACTTAATATATATTTATAAATGTTTGGCCAATAATTTAGGCAACTTATTGGCTAGCTCTCTAGAATATGAACCCATTTCTATTGATCTGTGTATCTCTACATGGCTGTGGCTTACCTAGGTGATGCCCTGGCATCCTGACTCCCTGGTGGCTACATGGCATCTCCTCACTCTGTCTTCTCCCTGCCTCTTTGTTCGGAATTCCCATCTAGCCAAATTCTGCCTGTCCATTGGCCAAAACAGCTTTACTCATCAACCAATAAGAAAAAACACATAATCACAGCATACAGAGGACATTCCCCATCACACATGAGTAGTAATAATCAGAACACTTCCTTGAATGAAGTTACTAATAATTCAGGCCATAAGTTGTGTTGATATTTTACCTATACAAATATCATTCTGGCCAGGCGTTGGTGGCTCACACCTTTAATCCCAGCACTCGGGAGGCAGAGGCAGGCAGATCTCTGTGAGTTTGAGGCCAGCCTGGTCTCCAGAGTGAGTTCCAGGACAGCCTCCAAAACAATACAGAGAAACCCTATCTTGAAAAATCAGAAAAAAAAAAAAAAACAGAATATCATTCTGTTCTTAGAATTCCTCTGGTCAATAACTCTGTAAGAGTCTCATTAAAAAGGAATGCTTCAGCCAGGCTCTAAAGAAACCATTAGGTAATCACCGTGAGTGGTGAGTGACACTGTAGATAAATGAGCACATGCAAAATCCACAAGTGATAAAGTGGTGATGATGTCGTCAGGGAAAAGGGAGTTGAGTCAGCTGGTGTTGTAGTTCCGTGGGAGCATGCTTACTGAACATGCGCCAGACCCGAGTTTGACCTTTGCTCTACAGAGAGGTGAGAGAGGAAGAAGGCAGAGACAGGCAAGAAACAAAGACCCCATATTTTAAGATAGGAACAGAGGTGCATGCCTATAATCCCAGAGTTCATGATGTGGAATCAAGAAGATCAAGAGTTGAGGGCCTACTTCAGCTACATGAGATCCTATCTAAAACAACAGCAACAGCAATAATAATAATGTTGGTGAATCAGAGAATATAAATACTAAGAGCTTAACTAGAAATGAGAGTAGAAAGAGAGATGCATCTGTATGTTAAGAAATCCAAACTTTGGGGCAATCAAGATGGCTTAGAGGGTAAACACACTTGCCACTGAACTTGACAACCTGCATGATCCCCAGGACCCATGTGGTCAAAGGAGAGAACAAACTAATGCAGGTTGTCCTCTCATTTTTGCATGCATTCTGTGGCATATTTCTGTGTACAAATAAATGGAATCTAATAGAAGAAATAAAATATAAACTTATATAAAAAACCCTTGATATTTTTAAGAGAATTTTAAGCAAATGAGCAAAGTCACTTTTTTAAACATACCATTAAAATCATTATAGACAATTGTGGATAATGGGGAGAGAGAGTAGAGAATGGACAGGAAGAAAGGGAAAAAAATTTCAAGAAAATAATAGATTATGAGTTTCATGTGATAGCATAAAGAAAATGAAAGCAGTAATGGTAAAGGTGAGAATTTGGTAAGTAAAAGTTTAGAGGTTTCTCAAAAAAAATAAAAATATAATTACCATATAACCCAGCTGTTTCACTTTTGAGA